CAGGAAATAAGACTGTTAAACAACTGAACATTCATCTGCTACTTAGTAATTATTTATCTATTATCTAATATATCATTCCAATAACTTGTATATAGACTCGTATTGCACTATTCCACTTTTTTTTCTCACTTTTTTAAAAACTATTATCTTTTTGTATTACTCTTAATATAGTATATTTTAATATTGTTTTAATATTGTCTGCTTATCTGTATTATTGTGTTGCATTGTTGGAGAAGCCTGTAACCTAAGATTTTCAACGACATAATTACTCTGTAGCTATGTTAGTTTGACAATAAAGAACCTTGAACCTTGAACTTATATTAAATTGGTTTGTCTTTTTTAATGTTTGTGTGTCTGTATTTGTGTGCTACCGTCGTAATGAGGTCCCAGGTGGGGGTCCTGGTCTGGAGGGGATCAGAGGCGGAGGAGATCCGATGCCCATATCAGGAAGCTGGGTGAAGCGGAAACCCTGCAAAAGCCAAAAATAAAACTTAGAGAAATATTCACTAGCATCTGGACTCTGGACAGTAAGAAACATAAAGAAAAAGAGGGAAAATAACAACAGGCAAACAAAGAAGGCTAGAAAATAAGATGGCTGTCTGATTGAAGAAAACCAAAGATAAAAGCAGACAGGAGCTGCATGAGGCTGTTGTCGTTGGTGGTGGGTATTCAATCCACGTCTCTTTAATTCTCTCTTACTGAATAGCTGCACACAGAGCACTAACAGTAAGCATTTCTGCATTCTTAAGGATCAAATGACAATTTGGAATTTTGGAATTATTAAAGGTTGTGTGGTTGCTGACCCTATCTGCTTGTCAACAGCACCACATATGGAATTTCATTTACCTCCATTGTATTAGGGTAGAGTTACAAAACAAACAATGACATACTTCAAGAACTGGACTCATAGTTCTATTTTTTCTCTGTTTCCCTGAAATTGCCTGTTCCCTCTCATTTGGGTCTTCTTAAAATGTCCCTTTTTATGTTTACACCTTCGTCAATGTTTCCTTCCTTTGTTTCCATCAAGCCGCTTAGACGCCTTAAACAGACAGTGCTAAGGTGTTATCATTTGTTTATTTATTTTAACTTACAGTCATTTACTTGTTTGGCTTCCCATGATGCGGACTCGCGTTTCACAATAAAATTATATACTTTCCACACACATTCACCAAAGAAAATAAGCCTTCACAACAGTCCAACAAATCAAAACAAAAGAGGCTGTGTCTCGACGGCGTGGGTAATGTAGTTCTTTATAGTCTCGACTAGAGAGGTCATGATTATGTGACAAAAGTTGGCCTTTTTCTTTAAATAAAAACAAAAGACTCGAACAGTCATATTTTTGGTGTTTTTAACCTTTTAGAGAACTTTATGACTTTTAGGGTGTCGTGAAAGGCCCCTCCAAATAAAATGTATCATTATTATTTGTTATTATTATTGTTATTCCTAGTGCTTCTCACCGGTTTAGGCAGGCTGCACTGGTGCATGTCCTCGTAGCCGCTCCTCTGCCGGCCCCCACAGGGATGGTTCATCGTCCCAGGGGCGCTGGTCACCCCGTCGCTGTAGTGGCTGGTGTGGGAGGGATTGTAGGCCCTGTGGGCGTGGTGGTGGTGATGGTGGTGGCTGCTTTTAAGAGAGAGGAATATTAAAAAAAAAAACGTTAGTGGACAGTAACACTCCCACTCTCTCTGGTTGTTCTCTGGTGTACTTTATGAAAAACAGCGTGGGGTCACAGACATCCTGTTACTCTCTCTATTCTGTCGTTTAAAACATGCAGATGTGCTTATAAATAAATCATGTGTAAATGTACTTGGTAGGAGGAGAAGGGGGGTCGTGGTCCGGAGGTGCCAGGCTGAAGGCGTTGCCTAGCAACATGTGCATCTGCGTGCGAACTTCATCAATGGATGGCTGGGAGCTGAGTGTGGAGGAGTCGGAGCCGCGGTGAGCTTTCACCCCCAGGCTGCCGGTGCCGGTGGATCCGCCTCCGTAACCCAGGGAGCTCATCAGCCGGTCCACGTTGGTCTCCTCAAACGGTTCAGCCTCGCCCTGCAGGGTCAGCGGGACAGCGGTGACGTGAGGACAATCAAATCACACGTGATCCTGACAAATCAAGTCACCACCTCTGAGCGACCGTACTGTAAGAAGTTCTGGTTCCGTAAGAACTCATTCTCTGAGTATACGAGGCATGTTGGTGTCAGTCTGATCAGCTCCCAGAGTGACGGGAACACTGGAGAAACTGAACTGGCTAACTGTCAGACAGAGGTACACTAATGCAATGTTAAAATGTTTCCAGAAATATTACAGTGACACACTTACCACATATATTAATACATATGTTTATATAGCAGTATGCTCAACATAACCATCAAACACGACATGCAATAGAAGGAAGGTTCATATCACACAAAACTAAATCAAATATCAAACAGAAAACAGTCACATGCAGAGCCACGGTCAACTGGAATACATTGCCGGTCCATATCATGTACATTTCAAAAGTTTGCCGATAAATCATCTCCGTATCATAGAGTATAATTCAACTGTGTGTCTGTGGCTATGTACAATTACTAGTATTATTTATATTTTGTTTAATGATGGTTAAAATAGGATAATCATGTTTGTGTTGTCCTACGTGCACATATCTTTTGTGCAATTTGACTTTCAGCTAAACACCTTCCACCATCAAGGACTAGAGACTGTTGATGTCCTTTAAAACCTCTTAAGCCCCAAGCCTGTTTTTCAGGGTTCAGGCTCGAAAATGACATTCCCAGAACAAATGACCATATCTTCCCTTCTAAAAGGGAAAAATTAATAATCTTTTTTCTCAAAGTAATGATAAACCTGTGAGTTGGATGTAAAAAAAGTCAGAATCAATATAGATGTTTTTTATTTTTAAAGAAAATTCAGATTGAACATGGTAAAAAACTGTAAATTATAGTGTCCGTCCAAAAGATATGTTGTACTTATAGTGAAAACTAACCTTGGATGATGGGTTAGTAGACTAAAAGCTTTAGGAATCCAAAGTACAACATATAATAAGTACCCTGTATCAAGATTGATGCAAAACAAGTGATATTTGACCTTTTTAGACTTAGATTTAGCAAAAAAACCTTCTTCTGGGACCATTTCGGTGGATTTTACATATCTCTGGCCCCCCTTCTTTGATTTTGACATGTGATATCTCTTTCTGATCGTTAGAGCCAATAGAATCGAAGGGAAATCGTCCCGCACACACTCATGTAAAAAAAAAAGATGGCGTCTTCGCGCATTCAATGAAGCTACAGAGCCTAGGAATGGCCTGCTCTACTTTTTTTCAACGGAATTGCAGTTTTATTGCTTATAGATTATCAGAACATTTCAAAGAGGACACAGCCACATTGGATATTAACCTATGGATTAACTACATCATCGTTGTTATAGTTTTAATGCCATTGAAGACCAGTTTAGATCAGACAAAGACGAAGGCAAGCCATGTTAGCGTTGTGGGCTACCTAGCGCCACTTGTTTTGATGTACGTTTTTGTTGATAATGTCGCGAGTTTGTATCTTTCAGTGTTGAGGTGGGCACCGTTAGATTCTGTGTCTTTAAGATCATAAACGATGTGTTGGATGTGCAGCTAGGATAAGTAATAAGGGAGCTAAGAGTGATTTTCGGTGCAGTAATAGGTTAGCATTTTTTGCTCCTGAGGGGAGAGAGACGTTTAAGGTCATGTGATCGGTTGTCTGGAAGATGTCGCCTCTGCCTCTTGAAGGGGGAAGGGGCAACCCAGTTGTTGGCATCATCCTTTCGGAACCCTTGTTCCATGGTCTTTATGAAGACCTTGTCTTCAATCGAGGGAGCTACTTTGTTATCTTCCTTAGTTCTTTGGAACACTGTACACCCAAGATGGTCTTCTCCTTTGTCACAGGCGGTGTCATCACTGAAGTAGCTCTGTGTGGGGTCAGTTGACGTAAAGTCGCTGTGTCTTTCTTTGATGAGGAGGCGATTCGGACGAGGTTGAAAGACCGTTCTCTAGCGTGCTTGTGAAGAGAGTGTTCACCATGGATGGCTTATGAACATTTCCCAAACAGACGTCTCCCACGATGAACCATCCTAGGTTGAGCCTCTGAGCATAGGGTGCATCGTGAGGACCATTTATCTGTTCCCGCACCTTGTGTACTCTTATTATGTCCCTTCCAAGGAAAAGCAGATGGTTTTCCATCTTAGGAATCTGAAGAGCTACAGATTTCAGGTGTGCGTGGTGGAGCGCAGCTTCTAGAGTGGGGATTTCTGATCTGTTGTTAGGAATCTGGTTACACTCAATTAGCGTAGGGAGGGATAAACAAACCTGCCCATCGAGGGATTCCAGCTGTCTCTACCACTCCTGTGCTCCTGTGCATGTCTTCAGTGAGTAAGGTGACTTGGGGCCTTGTATCTTGAAAAGATCAAAGAACTCTGGGCGAGCAAGTGATCTGTTACTTTGATTGTCGAGGATGGCATAAAGCTTTACTGCTTTGTCTGGATAACTTGAATGGAAGACTCTAACAAGACAGATCTTCGAACACGACCTGCTGCTCAGGTCCCCACCGCAGACGCTGGTACACAGGGCTGCAATATCAGCAGGTGTACTTCCATCCCCCCCGCCATACCCTATGGCAGGGTCAATGGCCTTTGCCTTCCAGGTTGGGGGTCCTGGATGTAGGGCTGTGTTGTGACTTTCACTTTCGCACTCGGAGCACTTGACGCTCGCTTTGCAGTTTCTGGCAATATGTGATGTTGAGGCGCAATATCTGTAACAGATCCAAT